ACACACACACACACACACACACACACACACACACACACACACACACACACACACACACACACACACACACAATCCCTCAGCTCTGAGCACAGATGAATTAGAAATTGTGGTGTTTGTAAAATTATCAGACACCACAAGGTWTTAATACACCATCAAAATGAGAGTGTAAATTTAACACTCAGAGTTAATATCAACTCTCAGTAGTTAGTAGAAAAGTATAATGGAGTCACCCTTCAAACACCAGGACGTACCTCTCACTCATGGTGTCGATTTTTGGCCAAAAACATAAACTCAAAGTTGAACATCTTGATCAAACTGAACAAGAAAACTAACCAGAACAATTAATTTTTACTCTCATGAGTGTCTTTAACAGTCATAAACTTGCAAAAACATCATTTCTGCAAGATTTCTCAGCAAGGAATGCTGGGTAAATGCTGGTCTGTCTGGGATGAGGTAGAAGAGGGCGGGGCTTTTCTGAAAACTGCTTTCAACACTGCAAGGTGTCATATAACAACACTGTTAAGTGTTACATAACACTTAACTGTGGGTGGAGCTTATTTAACACTGTCCAGTGTGAGACAACACTGAGGAAATCAACAATGTGAATTAACACCAACACTGGGTGTGAGTGTACTCAGAAAGTGTTAAAATAACACTAGAGGGTGTTAAATCAACACCCAAAAGTTTAACACTGAAATTTTAACACTCCTGTTTTTGCTGTGAGTCACGTAAATAATGAATCAGATGATCCACACATGCAGGAGAGGTGCTGTCATCACCGACGATTCTCTCTAACTCCTCTCAAGTTCATTTTAACGCAGCCTTTTTAGAGGCTTCCTCTTCCTCCAAACCCTAACATTTAACCTTCTGATTTGGTCTCCTCTGACTGAGGTGGTCCAAACTTCTCATCTATCCATCCATCCATCCATCCATCCATCCATCCATCCATCCATCCATCCATCCATCCATCCATCCATCCATCCATCCATCATGGAGAGCTCAGTGGAGGACCGTTGAGGGGGTGTTGATGAATTAAACAGGAGGAGCAGGGAGGAAGGTGGAGTGTGTTGGACAAGTGGATGTAGTCCACAGCTGTCTGTAAGGCTGCTCTCTGACCTTGAGGAGATAAGAAAGTTGGGAGACCCTCAGTCCATGGGGTCTTACAGCACAGTGGAAAAAAAAACCCTCCATCTCTCCGCTTCATGAATTATTGAGATATTGGCCTACAGCTTGTAAAATATACAGGAGGGTGGTCTGTCTCCCCGTTCACATTTCACATACCGTCTTCCTTGTCCTTCTGTCTATCGTTCTATCACTTTGCAAACTCTGCCTCTTTTCTTCTCTCTCTCCAAGTTRGGATCATAAATCAGAACACTTAAAAAGCCAAAGGGGAGGAGGGAAAAAAGGCATCAGAGAAGAAGTTTGTTACTGAGATCAGAAGAGGATTTTTTTTCTTCTTCTTCTTCTTTAGTTGAGGAGGAGCATCCACCACTAACCAGCTGTCATGCATTTAAAAGTTGTTGAGAATAAATCCACCAGTTCTTGTGTTACATCAGATGCTTGTAATGCACCCAGCAGTAGGCCAGCCCTCGAAATGAGACATAACTCTGCTGTGTCCATTTATCTTCTTTGCTCTTCCCCCTTTTTTTTTGGTTTGGATGAAGCAATTGTACAAGGCTGCAGCGTGCTGTGTGTTTCACTTGACATGTCTGTGTGTGGAAGTGTGTGTGTGTGTGTGTGAGCGATCATATCCGAGCTGGCTGGCTCCGAAACGCGCTGCCCAGTGCAGAATCGTAGCCATAACAAATGAACAGTGGGGAGAAAATAAGACATATGAAAGAAAAGCTGAGCAAAGGAGTGATTCTCTCTCTGGCTGCCGGAGATCTGTACTGTAAGCAGTTTCAGCTGTCAGCACTTCTTTGAGCTTCCTCAAAGGGAGGAGGAGGAGGAAGAGGGTTGGGTAAAGGGGCGGGAAATGTAGTTTTACACACACACACACCCCTAATCGTCCTTTTTCTTCTTCTTCTTGTGAAGCTTCCTGTTTATTTGTACACAGCACTGTTTATTTTTGTGGTTTCGTTTCATTTTTTTTCACCCTCTCTCTGGGAGACAGACAGCGCAGAAGGCAGATGTGCAACAACCRCAGTTTCACTTACAGAAGAAGTTGTCAGGCCTTGAGCCTCGGGGTTGGGTGAGGGAATAAATTGTCAGCCGTCCCCCTTTTTCTGCTTTTCAGMCCCCCCCCCCCCCACCACCCACAACCATCACTACCCCAACCGTCCCCCACCCTTTTTTTTTACTCCTCCCTCTCTCATTAAGTATTGATGTGGGTAGCCATACTTGCCATCTCAGCCTATTAATAATGCATGGCAGGTGCTGTTGATGTGGTTTCTCACACTGAGATTGAGAGAGGCAGAACACGGTGCTGCAGAGGAGCTACAGTACAACCTTCGTCGCACACAGCTGCAGGGAGGGTGTGTGGGGGGGTGCTGGGGGGTGGGAGCTACATCTGCCCCTGTGAGTTSGTGGCAGGCCGTGACAGCTACTCGGAGATGGATATACAAGGTAGCACCCTTTACTCACTGTCTTGGAGACGGTTTTTACATGGTGGGGTGGGGGGGTACTGACAAATGCTGCAGACAGCGTGAGTCTCGTCTGCCACAGCAGTTTGATTTGTTTTGTTTTATGTGTGTGTCAGTGTGTTTTGTAATGTATCGTTACGCACTCTGATCTTGCAGCGACTCACAGCTCACCCGGTTCCCCTCGTCTCTCTGCGTTTCCGCAGGTTTTTCCTCAAGTTCTTCCTGAAGTGTAACCAGAACTGCCTGAAGAATGCAGGGAACCCTCGGGACATGAGACGCTTTCAGGTGACCGCTCAGTGCGCATCAGGCCTGAGTACAGAGTAGACRAGAACTACGCTTCCAGTCTTACACTATTTCAGTGTATTTTCATTTCTTTTATTCCTTTTAACTGATTTAAAAAGGACAATGCACAGCTGCGTTTCATCTGTTGTCATGAGCAGATAAAAAAGTAACAGTTTATAAAACAAGTGCACAAAAAAGACAAAATTTAACACTGATCAACAAACACCTCTGACTACAAGGTACACAGTTAAGTTATTTTATGAATGAATACATGACTGATTTTCTTTCAGCCAAACTTTAAGTTTCTTTTTTTAAAATGGAGTAACTGTCTCTGATATTTGCTGGTAGCTCATTCCATAAGACTGTTCCTCTGATTGAACACCTTTCGTCCAAACTCCGTACTCCGACTTGTGACAACACAGTCCCCTCTAGTTTGAGACCTAGTATTCATTCTGGATGTATATTTGTGAATAAAATACTTTAAAGCTGGAGGAGCATGTCTGTTTTAAACCTTAAAAACAAGACTTAAATCACTGAATCTTTTAAGTCCAAAAACTTGTACTGATTTTACAGCAGTGAACATGATAAGGTTGTCTGTCTAAAACCTTAATTGTCTTCTTGAAGAGAGACGTGATTTGATTAAAAGACAAAGTAAAACCGTTCAATCCCTAAAGGAGTCTTTTCGCAATAACGTCTGGAAGTAAACGACATATTTCGAAATAACTTTTTAGAAGTCACATACCCACATTTGTACAGAATCCATACATAAAAAGACACTTCAACTGACTAGGTCTCAAGTTTTACTGACTTTCTAGTTTCCTTTTTTGTGCAGACTAAACTCTGATTACAAGCTGCTTTGTGCCTCATAAAAGAAATGCATTGTTCGTACGCTGGTGAACATTAGTGGTGCATATTAACTAAAAAAAAGACAATTCTTTCAGAAACTGGTGGGGGTCTGAGCAAATCTAAAATAAGAATGAATTACTTGCAGGACGTGTGAGGCGGCAAACTGTTGCTGTTTGTTTGTTGTTTAAAAGGTCACCCTGAAAGGTTGATTGCGYGTTTGGTCAAAACTCATTTTAGTTTAGTCATTTCAACATAATACCTAAYCTTTTAGGATTCATTAACTAAAATATAATACAGTTTGATTTTAGATCTTTTGATGTTGGGTTCTTTGAAAAGGTTTTAAGCAGTGAATGTCTGCTGTAGACAGCTCTTTGAGTGACCAAACACTGAAGAAAAAGAGTTTAATTCTGACTGGACTTACAAACATAATGATCAGTGGTCTACAACAGGTAAAACAAGCCCACTTTAAAAAATCTGAACTATTAATTTAGTTTATKTAATGATGTAGTTAGTAATAGAGATAGAAAGTAAGCATAAAAGTTCACACTTTATTTTCTGCAAATTTTGCCAAAACTCATAATGTTTGTTAGTTTACTTGGGGGGGTACATATTTTCCAGGCACGTATAGTTCCATTATGTACCACAATCGAGTAACTATTACTTTCAGTTATTATAAATGCTGAATAAATCAAAAATAAATTAGACTGTGCATCGTGGCCTCTGTCTCTTTAAGGACCTTCTACCGTTTCTGACGCTTCCACATTCAGCACATTTTCACAACGTTTCATTTCATTTACAACCTTTCATTGGAGTGTTGTAAGAGAATAGTCTCGTTGGCATTGAAAAATAGATTCCTTAATGGAATCTGAAAAAAAAAACTGGACTAAGAAGTTGTTAGTATTACAAGCTCAACAGACGTGCAGTTCTGCCAGGTCTGGTGGAACTGTGTGGGGGAGGCGTGCTCTGTGGGTTGGGAGCTTAGTTGGGGGCTGAGCTCCAGGGAGGAGCTTTGGGTAAGTAGGTGTTGCTTTGTACCAGCAAGCAATAAAAAAAAAAAATGATAACTAACTAAAACTGTATAATATTTTTTACAAAACTAACTAAAACTAACTGAAATTATATCCTTAGTTTTAGTGTTTTTCAATTTATTTTGAGCCATGTGAATCTTTTTTTTTTTTTGTAGTTTCACATTAGCTGCGGGTCTGTAACAACACTTGTTTGTACTCTGCTGCTGCTCAGCACATCTCCTAAATGACAACAACAAAAGTTGGGAGAAAGCRTCCACTTTGGGATTTCTTTGAATATGACTGCGAGAAAAATCTAAGCAAATGTCTCGTAGTGGAAACAGGTGATAAAATAGGTGAAATACTTCTCAAGGGAAAAACTGCATGAATCAAGCTCACACAGGTATCAAAACTGAGTTACACAATTATTTTAGTAAGGTGTCACCATAACGGAATGCTTTAACTAGCGACCAAATAGCTGTTGGTTAGTTAACTCACAGGAACATCACAAGTAGAGGAAGCAATGGCAAATAAAGTATRAAAAAACTAACACTAGAACTAGTAAAAACAAAACTAAACTTAAATTAAGCATTAAAATGCAATAATAATAAAAACTAGCAAATCCACTGTAAAAACTAATTAAAACTAACTGAATTAAAAGAAAAAAGTCACAACAAAATAAAACTAAACTATGATGAAAAATCCAAAACTATTATAACCTTGCTCCAGAGAGCTGCTCTGTACAAATAAATGTTAGGCAGCTCCACATGGCTACCACGAGAGATTCAAGGATTTTTCAAACATGCATGAATGAGTCAAAGCAACATGTGTTTGATGAGTGAATGACATTATGACATGATATAAAATAAGTTGACTTTGCATAATAATCTTAATGTTTCCAATGCCAGTTTCTTAGTTTTCTTTGGATTCTCATTTTCCCAGGTGGTTGTGTCAACTACAGTAAGCGTTGAGGGTCATGTCCTGGCCGTGTCGGATAACATGTTTGTGCACAACAACTCCAAACATGGGCGCCGAGCTCGAAGACTGGACCCCTCAGAAGGGACACCGTCCTACCTGGAACATGGTATTAAAATAAAAAACACATGTTGTTTGTTCTCAGGGTTGTGGTTCCTATTTTGTCCTTTTCCTCTTTCTTTCCCTCCCTCTGTTATCCCCGTCTGTCTGGTTCCACTCTCTGTCTCTGTTCCCCTCAAACATGCTTTCYTTTTTTGTCTCTCCTCTTTCCTTTCCGGATTTTGCTTTCCKCTCTTGTTGGGCTTCAAACTGGAGCTAAGAAGAGAGTGGTAGCTACTAAGTCTCTCGTCTCTCCCTYGTGGCTCGCTCCCCTCAGGTCTGCGCCTCTGGGCCTTCTACTCTGCCTCGCATAAGAACTATGTGTCTTATGAGGTCTGTTCTGCTTAAAGCCAACACTGGCTTTATTTCCTCGGAGACCTGCTTTATCCTTCTATCCTCCCCAWCCCTCAGGTTTTCCAATGCACTCATACATGCACCAGAAAGCCCACATGCACACGCATGCACACCCCCACGCTTGCAGTCGAACACAAAACCCTTTAATACTGCATAATGACATGTGCACATGATTTAGGAGGCTGCACTGATTCCCAAGTCCCTAATCCAGTTATTTTCTCATTTTGATTTCCCAGACATTGAATAAGAGAAACATATTTTTTTTCTTTGAGAAAAGTCAACCTCAGGGATGATAATGACAAAAAAACTAAGAAGGGATTTACATGCTGGCCTGGAGTAGATTGCATTAAGATTGAATGTTTCAGTTAAGTCTTTGTGATGACTGTTCTCGGGAGACAAAGTGGACCGTTTGTCCCTGCGATCGCTCTCACAAGTGATTAGGAAAGTTCACAAAGACGAGACGTATGGAAGACGAGACGAATGGAAGACGAGACGTATGGAAGACGAGACGTATGGAAGATGAGACGAATGGAAGACGAGACGTATGGAAGATGAGACGTTTGGAAGATGAGACGTATGGAAGATGAGATGAGACGTATGGAAGACGAGACATATGGAAGATGAGACGTATGGAAGACGAGACGTATCGAGGACGAGACGTATGGAAGACGAGACGTATGGAAGACGAGATGTATGGAAGATGAGATGAGACATATGGAAGACGAGACATATGGAAGACGAGAAGTATGGAAGACGAGACGTATGGAAGACGAGACGTATGGAAGACGAGATGTATGGAAGATGAGATGAGACATATGGAAGACGAGACATATGGAAGATGAGATGAGACGTATGGAAGACGAGACGTATGGAAGATGAGACGTATCGAAGATGAGACGTATGGAAGACGAGACGTATCGAGGACGAGACGTATGGAAGACGAGACGTATCGAACACGAGACGTATCAATGACGAGATGTATGGAAGATGAGACGTATGGAAGACGAGACGTATGAACGACGAAACACATGGAAGATGAGATGAGACGAATGGAAGATGAGATGTATGGAAGATGAGACGCATCGAAGACGAGACGTATGGAAGACGAGACGTATCGAAGATGAGATGTATGGAAGACGAGACATATCGAAGACGAGACATACGGAAGACGAGACGTATCGAAGACGAGACGTATCTTAAACGATGGTGCAGCTTTGGATCTAAAATGAGAATTCGGGTACACACCTAGCAGATGTCCCCTGCGTCAGAGAGATTTGTTTGGGRGTTTCCTTGCCTCTGATTCTCTGTTCTGCGAGCGGCGCGAGTTGAAAGAAGGACTGAGCAGAATAGAGACGGGGCAACAAGAGACAAGGAAAGAAAGAGCTGAAAAATAGAGGAAACARTTCAACTAAAGAAAAATGTTTGTTTTGTTAAGGCTGAAAACTGCAAATCAAACCTGAGGTACGAAGGTTAGTTGTGGTTTTGTCACGACCCAAAAAACTACCTAGAACCAGAGTAATTTGTATGTGTAAATTAGTACAGCATTGCTTTAGAGATAACTAGAGACAGATCCAGATTGCAGGATTGCCCCAACCATGTAACCAAATTCTCTCCAGCTGTCAAATCCTGAGTCCTTTGTTTAATTAGAAGCTAACTCACAATGTTAATGGTGAGCCAGCCAGGAGGAACAGTCCAAAAAGTGAGTACAGGTCACTTTTTGYACTTCCTGTGCTCTTTGTGTTTCATTTTCCACCTTCTCCCTCGTTACCCCAGTGTTGCATTTGTGTGGCGKTTACACAACTTCGGGGCCCATTTCAACTGGTAATAGATGAGCAGTGCGTAGAGTTGAACAGATGGCACGGAGGAGCACCCCGAAGTATAATCCTATCACATGGATTCACGTTCCACCATCTGGTTAATCCACACACACACACACACACACACACACACACACACACACATAAAGCACACATCGAGAGCACATAATATCAGCGGCTGGGAAAGGGAGGCACCTTAGGACCATGATTTCGGCCACAGATTGCTGCTCGGTGAACGCTGATCTCTGCAGGCGTATCAGGGGGCTAAATATCACTCCAGCTTGTTGGGGAGGATCAACAGAACAGGGAGTTAGAGGCAAAGAGCAAAGACGAGCCTGGAGGGAGGGTGAAGTCGGCCTAGCCTAAAGTGGATTATGGCGCTTTACTGAATTACAACATGTCTGACAAGTTGTATATCTGTTAAAGAAAGGAGATTTAGCTTGTATAAACACTTCCCCAACGCTGTCCTTTTCTTCAATCATGTCCAGYAATCACCACAGTAACGTCAGCTCATAAGGTCTAAAACAGCACACTGAAGATCAGTTTTTGCTTATGTTGCTGCTTCCTGGACTTCGTCAATAAACGTCAAAGAAGAACTACTACAGCACAGTAAACATTTTTTTATGAATACAGCTACAAAGTAGGTGACGGGACAGATATGTGGACCAGACAGCTGAGCAGGAGCTAAGTGTTGGTTTAATGAAGGCAGCATATTCAGAGGGCAGAGCTACTGTTGGCTCTGCTCTGCTCCCCGGTCGCGTGGCCTTTGATCAGACACTGAGCACACCTGACATTTACACGCCCGCACGCTTCGCCACGTGTCATAAAACAAGCGCGCCTCCGCTGCCCTCGCACACGGGGGGCAGGGGTGATGTTTAATAACGGTGGCGCGTATAATCACTCTGATTAGAATTCCACGTCCCCTTGCCAACCCCTGGGGGAGGAGAGGCTAGAGGTGATTTGTGTGTGTCTGCGTTTGTGCGTGTGCAAGACAGAGATGGAAAGGAAAAGGAGAATGGACACAGCGCCGATGGCAAAAAAAATAAAAAAAGTTCTGCTTTGCCGTTAGGGTATTTAGCATCTAATCTCAAATGTTTGACTTTTGTTTTAGCAACTCCCAGCATCAAAGCCATCAGTCCCAGTGAAGGCTGGACCACAGGGGGCGCTACAGTCATCATCATTGGGGACAACTTTTTTGACGGCCTCCAGGTCATTTTTGGAACCATGCTAGTTTGGAGTGAGGTGAGTCAACGTCTAATTGCTGATCAATTTTCTTTTATTTTAAAATTTGGTCACTGCTGAAGCTAACTTTTAAATGTTTTGTGTAYGTTTCTGTATATTTATGAAATTTCCGCATTATTGGAGTATTTTTCTTTATGTTGCCAGCATTCAAATGACACACAGAAGCACAGTTTCATACTTACACTTTTTCTAACAACTTTACACACTTGGTAAATGCTAGTTGGGATTTTTTTTATCCTTCCTAAACAATCATTGATTAGTTGCTTCATCAAAGTAGTTAATAAAAAGTTGGTCTTTTTAAGCCTCTCTTACTCCCTATTGATCATGTGATTAGGAAAATAATCAGAATACTGTGMTGTCTTCAAAAAAGCAAGCTACATGCAAAACCAAGTCCAACATTAAAGTTTTGCTTCTGAAAAACTGCATGTGTAATAATCTAAAATATTACAATGGTTTCCAAGCTTTTCTGGCTTCAAACTCACAAAATAATAGCCAAGACTTAGACCTCATCTATAGTTGACGTAAACAAATATTTCTTTAAGGGCAATTACGCAAGAGAATAAAAACTTGAACATCAACCACAAAGACTATTTTACATGATAATAAATAAATATTTTTATCTCTCATAACAATCATGGCAAAAAATGTGATTAGCAATGATGTTTTAATTTATTTTTATTTTGGAAAATCATGTCAAGACCCCGCTTTGATGTTTCCTCGATCATATTGGGGTATTGTAGGATCAAGTGGTTTATTATGTAGAGGAAATTCTACATGACTTTTTTTCTGCATTCCTCTTAATACTTTCAATATTTCTGTTAAGCATATTTGTAGCTTCACATTTGTCAATCTGTTCTTTTATTCCCTCTCMGTGACTTCTTTACATGCATCACATTCAGAACAGACAAAACTCCTTTTTAATGTATCGCTGAGAAAACGAGCAAAGACGWCTCTCTTGAGTCTTGGAATAAGTGCTATTTTTGCCATACTTTGTAAATTAACAATATATTCAGCATATTAAAAAGTAATAAATGGACTGATCCGTAATTAAAGCAATAAATAACGGCAGCCTTGTARGTGGAGAGGAGAAATATTTTACAACCTTGAGCAGCAGTTTTTGTAGCTCCCTGTTCGCCTCCCCTCCTGTCATTTATTAGACTGCGTTTGTATCTGCTTTCTTGAAATATGTGCACGCGCCGCAGCCTGAATCCCTTTGTAAGGAGCATCTGCCACCTTACTAAAATGTAAATGCAGTGTATGTGAGAAACTGGAGGTCAGCGAGTAGGAGCAGCCAAACAGCTTTCTCTTTAGTAAAGGAATAATTCTATAAAAAGCTCCTATATTAWCTCGCGGAGGGGTGAGCGGGGCCAGACAATGGCGGAATGAAAGCCTAGCTAAGTGAGGAATGAAAGGGACAGTTAGTTATAACGACACATCCACACACGTACACATCTGCACGCAGCGCTGGCAGCAGCATTGATAGCTTTTGAGCGCTTCTAGCTTTGAGTGCTAACTTAGTGTAGCATGTGGAAAACGAGCACTCAGTGAGGTCTTCATGTGTTTTGTCATGTTCCCAATTTCCTTTAAAGTGCCTTCAGCATGCACACACACGCACGCACACACACTATGCAAGTGGGCTCATAAGCCTCACTAAGTGAGCCTCTTTAAGACACAGTGGTGCTTTTATGTGGCTAGCAGCAGCTTCAGCTGACAGACRCAGAGACAGGGCCAGGCAAGACAAGCGTATTATACATTTACGTATTCTGTTCAATAGATGTATGCAGAGGAAAGACTGTTTTATTCATAWACAGATAACTGCTTTTGAATCCTTATTACATAGTTCATGTCAGTGCTGATAACCATCCTGAGCCTCGCAGTGACATTGCCTTGGGCTACGAGGCCACCTGAGGGCTTTAGCGCTCTAACACCTCATTTTCAGGCTTATTATACCCAGAAAGAGGCTCAAAGTGACGAAGAGGAGGACTGAGACAAGCTGAGAATAGTCCCACGACACGGGCACGTGGGAAGATATGAAGTTTCATTACACTAATCTGCCTGCCGCCCGTCTCTGCTCTTTTCGCGTAGCTGATCACTCCCCATGCGATCCGTGTGCAGACTCCACCCAGGCACATCCCAGGGGTGGTGGAAGTCACGCTGTCCTACAAATCCAAACAGTTCTGCAAAGGCACACCTGGACGCTTCATCTACACAGGTACTACACATGTGCACTAATGACACCATTGTGGATTACAATACAACTAGACAATATAGTGTAGCAAGGTTTTCTTTGATCTGCCTCAGGCAAAGGTGAAATTGGTTTGTTTGTGTCTTAGTTTGTCTGTAGTGTTAGCAAAATATCTCCTGAACCAGTACACAGAGCTCATAAAATTTTCTCAAAGCGTACCGTGATCAATTGTGTAAGTCTACAACTGATTAACTTTTTGAGCATTAAAAATGGCTGCAAGAGCTAATCCACCTAACACAAAAATGGCCATAACTCAGCTAAACAGGGTTCCCACGGGTCCTTGAAATCCTTGAAAGTTTGTGAATTTGAAAAAAATAATGATTTCAAGRCCCTGTAAAGTTTGTGAAAACAGCCAAAAATTACACTTGTCCTTGAAAGTCCTTAAATGTTTTTTGGGGATTGAAATTCTCTACTCACTGACTGATTTTCATAATCTTTTTAAAAATGAATTATAAAATTAAATTAAAAAAACACATTTGTTGCGGTGGATAACTCAGGATTACGGTAAACTGACTTCAATGATTCTGACTCAACAACTTCTTTGTTTTTGTTCAGTTTTTCATTGAATTTACAAACAGCATTAAACTATTGGTAACATTCTGCAGTAGCAGTAGGTAATTGCCATTGCGCATGGTTTTTTAAATTGAGGAAACTGGTACTGGAAAGTCCTTGAAAGGTCCTTGAATTTGATGTTGACCAAGGTGTGGGAACCCTGGCTAAATTTACAGAGATTTTGCTAAAACTTGGTGTGGTACTAGCTGAGCACCACCCCCACCACATACACCGGGGGCTACACATTGCTCAATATCTTTGCTGATGAACCACTACATATTTTACTGAAACTTTCAGGACATAATAAGATGGCCATCTCAGCTAATCATCTTTAGCTAACACTAAAGTGCCTGTGACATGCAAATTCTTCAAAACAAAAAGTCCAGGAAAACATCTTTATATTTAAGAAAGTTGGAATAATACACACGATTTAGCCCATTTTGTCCCATAACTGGATATTTTCTTTTGAACTTGGCTCAGCYAAAGTGAAACAGGAAGTGACATCAGAGGTGAACTCTTAAACAAAGAAAACTCTCTTRTCTTTGTTTATTGAAACAATATTATTTGAACTCTGACTCTTCTTCATCTTTCTGATAGTGACTCAAAATAATCTAAAGAAACATCAGATTCTTCTCTATAGGCTGGGTTGTTGGCCATTTTAGCAATGCTCTGTTCACATGCAGACGTTCCCCTTTGACATCACTTCCTGTTACTTCACAGGCAAWTATCTCAACAACTGTTCATCTCAGCGACATGAAATTTCTTTAGCARTATTTTATCAATGTCCTCCTTCTAAAWATGCATTCATATGTATATCAAAAATTGGACATCACAGGCACTTTAAAATGGCTATAACTCAGTCAGTTACAGATATTTAAAAAAAACTGCGGTTGTAGCTGAGAATAATCCTCAATGCAATGTCGCATAATGTTATTCACACAGTTTGATCAAAACGTTTGTAACTCCATCATTTGTCATCATAAAATGGTCTTGGTTTAAATCTCTGSCATGAAAGGTTGGTGAASAGTTCTTCAAAGAACGCTGGGCCTTTAATTTGTGCACGTGTTTCCTAAATGTTCACTTTATGGATGAAGGACAGGAGAGAAATCTCTCTCCATAAGCAGGTAAACACAGTTTAAACACAGGCTTATTTAGTCACACTTTGTTTTGCTGTATCTGCCAAAAGTGTTGAGGAGTACGTTTTATGTGCTTTCATCACTCTTCACTGCTTCTGGAGGGGAGGGGAGAGAGAAAAAAAACATGCATGCTAAACAATTTAAAGTTCAATAAAGCGACTCAATAATTCAGCGGACAAGCTTGCTGATCTGAGGAGGAAAAAAAGGAATTTGCCCTCTTTTATGAAGCAAGTGAAGGTCAGAAGGGAGRTTTAACCTTTTGATTAGTGGGATTATCGAGAATTAACCCCTGTCGAAGGCATGATTCGACGAAGAGTTTCWCACCGAAAGTGTGACAAGCTCGGGCAGGAACATTGTTACGTTGGAGTTACAGCCATGCGGTGAAAGATTGGTAAAAAAAAAAAGGCAAAGCGGTGATTAACTAGTGCGAGGCCACAGGTCCTCTAGGGAGACGGCGAATCACATAAATCTGTCTGTAATCTCAACCACTGATAGACTTAGGCATTAAGCCCCAACTGGAATTGCCAACATCTGACAAAATCATAACTGAAAGAGCGTGTGAGTCGTATCGCCGTGCAGCAGTYTTGTGTGTGTGTGTGTCCTCGTTGTGACACATGGCTACAATCCATGTCCACGAGATGCAGTTGTGGATTTGGGGTAAAGGCTGCAAATCGTGTGCTTTGTGTTTCTTTGCACATATGTGCGACTGGACGCCACACACACACACACGCAGCCTGCAACGTAACTGCATTAGTAAGGCAGGGGGCAGATGGGTGTGCAGCCTTTGGTGTGCCGGAGCTGTCCAACACCCCCACAGTCTGCCAAACCCATGGAGCGGTGCGCCGTAAAAGCGAGTGTTTATGCAGTAGCCATGCAGGACGCGTACACACAAGCTGCACTCTTTCACCTTGTCACATTCACTTATTCAAAACTTGCCTCTTTGAACAAATTCGTCCAGCTCTCGCCTTATTTTTTATTTATTTTTCGTTCTCGCCGCTTCCTGGCCTCTGCAGAGACACGTTGAGGAGTCTCAACAGGTGAGAGGAGCTGTCCTCTGTGAGCTGAGGACTGTGATGCTGGCGTCTTTGCAGCRACACAGTCCAACCGTGGCCTTCCTTTCCTCACTTCGGCCGCCGCCGTGTCCTTTTCATCGGGGCATTAGTAGGTCTCGAGGGGTCCTTTGTATCTTTCTGCGGAAGGGAGAGAACCGGGCCAGCTCGACATTTYGAAAGGGGGTAAACCAATCAAAACCGCAGCTAATGTGAGCGAAGAGAAGGAGAGGTGGACCAGAGATGAGGAGAAAGCGATGGAGGGATTACTATGGGCCATGTTGCCCTCCTGGGTCTGTTTGGCACCAGTTTGAGCCCAGTTGCCAGTGGGTACTAATCATAGAGGATTGGCAGCGCCGTGTGGCAGCTGGCAGCTAACACACAAACATCAACACAACCACACACCACTCGTATATTACACTGCAACCACACACACACACACACACACACACACACACACACACATACACGTGCATGCTCTGAATTACATTGGGGACAGCTGGCATTGCTAATCAACTTCTGCTGAGGAGAGGAAAGCGAGCAGCTCACAGACCTAATTAAGTCAACACATACCCAATACTGCTGCTACTGCTGCTTTGCAAACATAACACTCTCATAACCCCATCTATGCCCCCCCCCCCACCAACCTCCCAACATACACACATGCCCTGCATGAATATTGATACTCCAGCCGCCACCACATGGACCAACGTTCAGCTGGAGCTCCGGACAGAGGAGACATGAAGGGAACTTTTGGTGCAGAGGAGATTCACTGTGAAGCTGTTACAGTAATGTGTCTCCTGTCGTCTCAGAGGACCCCCCCCCC